GGCAAAAGGAACCACTGCCACTGACCCACTTCCCTCCAGGAAAGAGAACGCCTCTCTGAATTAATTCTGATTTTTATATATATATATATATAAAGGCACAAGGATGCTCCAATGCCTCTCTGAATTTATTCTGAATTTTTTTTTTGGGGGGGGGAGTAAAGACAGATGCTCCATTGGTACAGCAGGGGGGGGAAACTCTCAGCCTTGCACGCTGCTTCCCGGCCTCCAGATGTCGTAAAAATCTCTTTTTTTAATTTCAGTTTCCCAGCACTAAGGATAAAAAGATTCCCCCACCCTTTTTTTTTACTTCTTCTTCTTCCTTAATCCGATTCCATTTTACGGCCTGGGTTGAGAGGGCTTAATGGGATACCTTCCTGTTTTTAATCTCTCAGTCTCGCCCTTCCGCAGCCGAGCCTCGCTGTCTACCTGATCCCTTTTAGCAAAAGCCAGGATCACCCATCCATCCATCCGCCCTTCCTCCTTGCAAGTTCCCCCAATCTAAACTCTGATCCTTTGGGGGGGAGATCTCCCTTTCTCTCTCTCTCTCCTGCAAGGGATCTAGCTGCTTCTGCTATCCAGCCCCCCTCCACCCCTCAATCCTTTTTAAAAAAAGGGAGATACTAGATCCCCGGGGTCCTATAGGAAGGGGGGGAAAAATATTAAACTCAGGTTAAATATGTTTTGGAGGCCTGAGGGCAGACTGGGGTGGGGCAGCGGAAAGAGACAGCTGCTCCACACCAAAGGAACCGAATGAAGACATTGCTGACTAAATGTATATTAAAAAATTTGATTTCTATCACGATTGGATCTCTCCATGCACAATTTCGGAAGGGGGTTAAGGCACGGGGGTCTTCCCTCTCCTAGCAAAGCAGCTAGTTGTACAACCTGCCTGGGACCACACACCCAGGGAGGGGTAAATTATTATTCCAGACAAGCCAACTTGAGTCATGCGTGGGTGGGGAGAGATAGATCAAGCCTCCAGGTTCAAAGGCAGTGTACCAGATGTCAGGAAGACCACAAGGTAATTTGAAGGAAGCAGCTACCTAGGGCTTCTGGTGGAAAGGCATCTTGGAACCAGATTAGAGTCTGCTGCTAGTAAAGATGGGTGGAAGAGAACCTCCAGGGACAGGGAGGGTCTATCCCCAAGGATCCTTGGGGATGCAGCAGAAAGTCCAGGGGAAAGGATCTGAGACAGCAAAGAATGCTCTCCTTGTCTTGCTCACAGCCTCCCCTGGTGGGATGAAGCTTCCCACTAGGTTCCAACCATATTCTGCACACCAGGAGATGGGCACTCTTCCCATGCTCAAAGGCAACATTGCTGCGAAGGTGAAGCATTTCATTAGCAAAGGCTGGGAGCCCACTAGTCTGTTTCCTTCCAGAAGTAACCCAAGATTAAGGAAAAAAAGGATGACAACCAGGGCCACTTTCAGAGGGGTGTACTTCAACTCCCAGAATCCCCCCAACCAGCCAGGTCCTGTTCTAAACACAAGGCCGACCACAGGGGATTCTGGGAAGCACCCCCACCCAGGTTGTCTTCCCTCACTGGGTCCCCATGATTTGAGATGTCACCAACAGCATTTGCAGAATAGCTACAGGCAGGGGATTATGGGAAACAACCCACTCCCCCTTTAAAGCATCTCCTCCAAAGCATTCTGGGAAATCCCTTCCCCCTCCTTTAAAGCCTCCCCATCAGTTTGGCGAGCTGCAAAGTCATCAGGGAAACCACCCATCCCTTTGAGGGTCCCCAACAACAGGGGATTCTGGGTAAAAGCCCCCCACTCTTCCAGCATCACCCCATCAGCTTTGCTAGCCACAAAGCATTCAGGGAAACCCCCTCCCCATTTCTAAGCTCTCCCCACCTTGACCAGCCCCAAGGCACTCTGGGAAACCCCCTCCCCCTTTCCTAAGTCATCCCCACCTTGCCCAGCCCCAAAGCATTCTGGGAAGACCCCCCCGCCCTCGAGGGGACGGGAATTCTGGGAGAAGAGCTGCCCCCAGCCTCTCCCTCGCCCCCCGGCCTCGCGCGGGGGATTATGGGTCCCCCCCAGCCCACCTGCTCGCGGGCGCGCCGCTCGGCCTCGGCCTCCCGCTGCAGCCGCTCGGCGCGCTCGTCGGCCTCGTCGGCGTGCTGCTGCAGCACCTGGATCTTGCGCTTCACCGCCTCGATGGTGGTCGCGCCCGCCATGACCGCCCCAGCGCCTCTGCCGCTCCTGCCGCCGCCCGCCCTCAAATACCGGGGCGCGCCCCGCCCCGTGACGTCACGCGCCCCGCGGGCCCCGGATGACGACGACGACGCCCTGCGCCCGTTGCCCTAGAGACCGGCGCCGCTCCGCCCCGCCCTCCCGCCACAAATACTGGGACGCGCCACGCCCCCTCGTGACGCCACCACGCCCAACCTGACTTGCTAGAGGATTCTGGGAGTTGAAGTCCGCCCCTCCTAAAGCAGGCTGGCTGGGAATTCTGGGAGTTGAAGTCCTCCCCAATTAAAGCAGACTGGCTGGGGGATTCTGGGAGCTGAAGTCCACCCATCTCTAAACTGCTGAAGTTTTGAAACAGTACAATTAATACCCCTTTGACAACACAGCCGTGACGCCTGAATTGGCCCCTGTTCCTATGGGGAGCATTGCTCTGATCAATGGGATGAATTCTTTCCAGCACAGTCAGTTGATCGATCAGTGGAACTAGGGGGAAAAAAGGGGCAGAAAAATCAGAATTTGGGGGAAAAATGGTTTGAAGGGTGCGAGATACACAAATAGACATATATGGGCATATATGGAACGTGGAATTAACCTACAGCATCTGTGGGTTTTTCCGTGGGACTGGAAAACATTCCTTTCTGGTGAGGTCCTCTCTCTTTTTTTTCTTTTTTCTGCTACGAGAACACACAGAGACACACAGGCAGGACCACATAAATTCTTTCCCCCTTAGAAGATCAGTGGAAGATCTGAAAATCTGTTTCCTACTGGTTTACTTTTCGCTGCATTATTTATAATTGGAATGGGAGGTTAAAAAAAAAAAAACAGCCAGAAGAGCAGGTTATGGTCCATTAAAGCTTAGCTGTAATTATGATTTATTTCTTTTAAAGTGTCAGGGGTGTTTTTGTGTCTAACTGTTGTGCCCGGTGGAAACTTTGGCTGCTGTGTTTGAATGGTGACATCAGTATTTGTCATGTCTTCTGGACTGGGAAGTTAGCTTCTGTACTAAAACAAAATCAACAAAGAGCTGCCTTAACAGCCAGGCTTAGCTCCCTGAGAATTTTGGATTACATGTTTCTTTTTATTTTCAAGTATCTAGTCCTTGTGAAGGTGCACTTGGAAATGTAGATCAATTTAGAACCTGCAAGACTTTTTTCTTCATGATCAGTTTAGACTTTGCAGATAGATAGATAGATAGACAGACAAACAGAGAGACAGACAGACAAACACTTCTTTTTGGAGCTACGGTATTTTCTCCTTCCTAATCAGAGTTTCTAATTTCCCGCTCTGCAAAATGGACCAGCCATGGGAAATGAGTTGGCCGAATCTTCCCTACAACTTTTTCTGGACCTTTCATCCCCCTCCTTAGCCCGGCTTTGCACTTTGCCTCCGAGAACCGCCAAGCATTCCTCGCCCTGCCAGGCTGTCCTCTCAAGATGATTCGCACCCTCTTCAGGGTCTCCTCTCTGGATGGCTGGCATGCCTAAGGAAAGACGCTAAGCCTTCGCTGTCCGCTTTCCTTGCCAGCTGGCGTCTCAATCAGGGCTTCTCCACCACGGAAGCTTCCAGATGGGGGGACTTCAACTCCCATAATTCCCCAGCCAACCTGCTTTAAGAGGGATGGAGTTCTATTCTATTCTATTCTATTCTATTCCTATATTCCATTCCATTCTATTCCATTCTATTCTATTTTCTATTCTATTCTATTTCTATATTCCATTCTATTCCATTCCATTTTCTATTCTATTTTCTATTCTATTTCTATATTCCATTCTATTCCATTCCATTTTCTATTCTATTCTATTTTCTATTCTATTCTATTCTATTCTATTCTATTCTATTCTATTCTATTCTATTCTATTCCATTCCATTCCATTCCATTCCTCTATTCTGTTCTCTCTTGTCCTGTCCTGTCCTGTTCTATTCAACCAATGTCTCACCTCGCCACAGAAACGTAGACCTCCATTGTGGCTGTAGGTCAAGGTCTGACCTGTATTTAAGCACCCCAAAACTCAACCCCACTCTCTTCACATTCTCCCCCTCCCCAATGGAGAACGGTCCAATGGCGCCCCCTCCAGGTAGAAGCTGGAAGGGAAAGGAAGGAGTTTCCCCCCCCCCCTCGGAGGCGATGACAGCCCGTGGGTCCATCCAAGTACTTTGGGGTGATAAATCTGTACACAGCTGATCCCCTCTGAATGGCACCCAACAGCTGCACAAGGCGCTGACAGCCCTTCAGTGCGTGACAGACGGCTGAGCCAACCCACCGGGAGGAAACCGAGGCCGGGTTGGCCTGGCAAAGGCCCGCCAACTTTGTGACAAGGAGCTCGGCCGTCGATGGGGGCACAGCCGGCGTGGCGGGCATTCCCAGCTCAACTTCAAGAGACATTCTCCCTTGGGCTTCCATTTATAGGCAGGGGAGACACGCCTGCTGCCAGTCGCTTGCCCGAAATGATTTAGGTGGGGTCTCCTGCCTGAGCAGGGGTTGGACTGGATGACCTCCAAGGTCCCTTCCAACTCGCTTAAGAACTGCAGGGACTGGCTGAACGACTGCAGCCCAAAAAAATCAAGTCGTAAATGGGGGGACGGTCCCTATGATGAGACGCATTTTGAGAGATGGAAGCGGCCTCCCAGTTGTGGCCGTAAGCCGAGGACTACCTACAAAGAGGACCGGACTCTCTCCGGGCTCGGCTGGGGCATCTGGGTGTTGTAGTCCAGCCTTTTGCTGCAGTCCTGCAGAGACGGCCCTTAGCCTTTCTCCTCACCAGCATCCCCAGCCTGTTCCCCCCCCCCGTGTTTTGTACGTACGTCGGCCGCCTTTTTCTCGGCCACTTCCAGCTTCTCCTGAGCGTCTTTCAGGGCCTCTGAATATTTGTCCAACTCATCTTCTGTCCCTTTCAGCTTCTTCTGCATGGCGACCAGCTCGTCTTCCAGCTGCGAGGGGGAGGAGAGGAAAGGGGGAAATGGGTTATCTGGGGTCCCGAATGGGGTGTGGGAGTCTGCTGGGAAAGTGGGGGGGGGGTGTTCTCAGTTGGATCCTTCTGTCCATCCCTATCCCTCCCTCCCTCCTTCCCTTTCTTCCTTTCTTCTCCCTCTTCCTCCTCCTCCTCCTCTTCCTTTCTTCCCTCCTTCCTCCCTCTTCATCCTCCTCCCCTTCCTTCCTCTCTCCCATCTTTTTTCCTCCTCTCTCCCTCCCTCCCTCTCTTCTTCCCACCATTTTCCTTCCTTCCTTCCCCCCCCATCCATCCATCCATCCATCCATCCATCTGTCCTATTCTATTCTATTCTATTCTATTCTATTCTATTCTATTCTATTCTATTCTATTCTATTCTATTCTATTCCATTCCATTCTATTCTATTCATATTCCAAATTCTATATTATATTATTATTTCTACTCTACTCTACTCTACTCTACTCTACTCTACTCTACTCTACTCTACTCTACTCTACTCTACTCTATTCTATTCTATTCTATTCTATTCTATTCTATTCTATTCTATTCCATTCTACTCTGCTCTGCTCTGCTCTGCTCTGCTCTGCTCTATACTCTATTCCATTCCATTCATTAAAATTCTCTGCTACCCATCACCCCTATAAGGCGACTCCGGGTGGCTTACAATTCACAAAGACAGGAGTAGAAAGATAATTAAAATATTAAAACTACACTCATTAAAATATCCCAATAACGGGAACAGCCTCATTCTTAAAGCCGGCCATCCAAGAAGGCTGCAGCTTTGCACGCTGAGATCAGAGGGCAGTTCGTCCCCATCAAATCTGTGCCAGCTAATCTCCTTCCTCTGTGTGTATGTGTGTGTGTCATTGTGTAACCTGAGCTTTGCCTGGAAATAAAAACCAGGGAGGGAGGGAGCCACCCCAGTCTATTGTCAGCTGCATGCTCACCCCCAAACCTCGCAGAGTATGACCCCCCTCCCCTCCCCTCCATCTCTTCCCTGCCGAGGCTTTGCTCAGCCGGACCAAATAAGCAACCGGATATGAGCTTTGCATGGTCTTTCTCACTGCCCACAGGTGCCACGCCACTCCGGCTGCCCGCCACATTATGCCAACATGTGCCTTTCTTGCCCCCCCCCCTGCAGCCACCCACACCAAGATGAATGTGGTCAGATCTCAGAATGTGCTCTCCGAGTGTCTCAGCAAAAAAAAAATCACAGGGCGGTCTCTGAGCATACGCCGAGTGCGCACAGGTTTACGGCACACGACAGCTGCAGCGAAATGTTAAAATGCTTCTTGATGTTGTGTTTCTGAAACACGCACCATGGAGGAAATTCCCCAGCTGGCAAAGGGCAAAGAACAGAGGGAGCCTCTGAACATGTGCAGAAGGCACTTGAAACTGCCAAGGGGGAGAAGGAGAAGAAGGAGGAATAACTCAGCCCCAATTCTAAAGACATGGATTTGCAAAGCAATCGGAACAAAGAGGGCTAAGTGCACTTTGCAGTAGCTCAGAAACTCTATCTTTTTCTGTCTCTCTTTCTTTCACTCTCTCTTTCCTTCCTTCCTTCCTTCCTTCTCTCTTTCTTTTTTCCTTTCCTTCCTTCCTTCCCCCTCTAATCCATCCTTCCTGCCCCCTTCCATGTCAGCTTGTCTTTCCTTCCTTCCTTCCTTCCTTCCTTCCTTCCTTCCTTCCTTCCTTCCTTCCTTCCTTCCGTCTCTCTCCCTCCTTCCCTTTCTGCCTCTCTCTCTCTCATATCCACTTCCTCTCTTCTCCCATCCCTGGAGAAACAGTCTTGTGGCTAAGCCCACAATCAATTAATTTAGTGTCCCAGTGTTGGCAAGGTTACCTGAGGCCACTTAGTCTAACCCCCTGCTCAGCCCATCTTCACATTCCAGCATCCATGCCAAGTAACTGTCCAGCTCCACATTCAAAAAGAAAAAGGCCATCATCTTTCTGGGATATTCCTGCCACTCTCCACCCCCTTTAGTCTTAGGAATATATTCTTTTGTAACATAAAAATCTGCCGTAATGTCTTAAGTTAATTTAACTAAAATTAAGTTGAGTTACGTTAGGTTCACTCAGCTCAACTTAATTTTACTTTACTAATTCAACTCAACTTAAATTTTACTTTGTTTTACTTTACACACTCAACTCAACTTAATTTTGCTTTACTAACTTAACTCAACTTAATTTTACCCTACTAATGTAACTCAACCCGACTTAAATTTTACTTTATTTTACTTTACAAACTCAGCTTAATTTTACTTTATTAACTCAATTCAAGTCAGCTCAAGTCAACTCAATCTAAATTTTACTTAATTTTACTTTACTAACTCAACTTAACTTAACTTAAACTCCATTATTTTCTCTCCTGCCCTCTAGAATGAATGAGAAGAGATTTTTGCCCTGATCTTCCTTCTGTTGTTTTGCAAAGACCTGGTGGCAACATGGGAACCAAACGAGTTTAATAAAGAAATTAAAAAAAAAAATATGTCCATCACATCTACCCTCAATTGTCTTTGCTCAAGGCTAAAAGACGCCAGCACTTTCCATCCTTCAGCTTAATTCCTAATCTCCTGTTCAGCCTCGTTCGTTCCCTTTCTCCACTGCATGCCAACTTTTTTCTGACTTTTTTTTTAACTCCTGGAAGTCAGCACCTTAAAAGGCACGGTCCACCCAAAGTTAAAAAAAAACATAAAATAGATTTGTTCCCTCCCTTGGTTACCCTTTTGTTGATGCGGCTTCGAAGAAAATAGATTTATTACGTCATTTTTAAGGCAATTTAAAATTGCCATATTTATTTTTCACGAAGCCACTCTGACAGTGGACAAAAATTATTCCCAAATCTTTTGCACGTCTCCCGAGTACAAGCCGAATCCCTCATCAAAGAATTAAGCCTTTCGTTTCTGTTTTATAAAAAGGAGCTTTGGGTGAAATTAATTTGCTGGCTTTTAACTTATTTTGCGGATCAATCATCTGAGGTTTTCTGTTGCCTGGCTAAATTGGGGAAGGGGGTCTCCAACTCCGATCGGCGTTCTCTCCTCTTTTTCCTCCAAAGCACGGGTCCAGTTTGACCAGTTTACCCAGTGGAGGGGATTTTTGATGGGCAATTTTACAGATTGGCCTGCCCATCTAATTTATATTTAAACATTTTTATCAAGAAGAACAGATGGAAAAATAAAGTTTTCTTGGCTCGTTTCAATAGCCCTCTGAAGCCAAAAAGCAAACTTTTGAGAGTTTTCCTTCCCGGTAAAAGCTTTAATGCAGCTTAAAATTGCAAGAGGAATTTTAATAAAGGCAGGAATATTCCTGCTAATTTTTTTTTTTTTTAATTTATAAGCTCACGATGGTTCCTGTTAAATGCAAGGTTTCCCAAATTGGAGATTGCTGGGATTGAGGACCAGATCGTTATTTTAGTCTAAATCCCAGATTCCTTTATAGGACAAACCTAAGCCAGGGGTTTTTTTGGGGGGGGGGGGTTATCTGGAATTTGGGAAAAACACTGGATTTTAGGCACATTTGCTGGGCTCAGCCCCAAATCAAGAATTATTTACCCCTTGCTCCCAAGCAAGGAGAAATAAAACCCAAAGTTGGTCTGACTCTCAAAAGACAGATTCTCTGTCTGTCCATACCCTCCCTGGAGTGACAAAACAGCCCTGTGAGGTGGGACAGACCCAAAGCAAAGAGGAAATCGCTGCATCCGGGCGAGCCAAGGTGGTCTAGGTTTCGGAAGCCTCAAGCTGCTAGTCCTCAAGCCTCCTTTTTCGCCCTTTTTCTCTCTCTAAACCAGGTTTATCCTGGCCCCCACCTGCTTGCTTCTCTCCTCGGCGTGTTTCTGCTCCGTCTCAGCTTGCTCTGCCCGGTCCAAGGCATTTTCCTTGTCCAGTTTCAGCATCTGCATCTTCTTCTTGATGGCTTCCATGGTGCCGGAGGGCGGGGGGCACGCAGGCGGGCAAGCGGAGAAGCTGGACTGATGGGCAAAGTGGCACGGGGGGCGATTGCAATCGGCCGATCGCCCCCTCTGCTCTTTTTATAAGGGCCCCCTCCTTCCAGCTGGCGCACCAGTCTTCCCTTTCTGGGATTTGGCCACCCGGGTAGGGGGCGAGATCCTTTTCCAGGGACCCCCCCCCAATCTCCCTCCCTCCTCCATTGTCCTCCGAGGCCGAGGGAGATGTTTGCAGGCTGAGGACAATGGCCATATTTGGCCCCACTGGGTGGACAGCTGGTTGCTACTAATAGACTTCCCAAAGTGGGGAAAAAGGCCAGCAGGAGGGGCAGGGCTGTGTGTGGGGGGGGAAGCTTTGTTCCTGGAGAGGAAGGGCAGGGAGGACGGTCTCCCCAAAAGCCGAGCACGGCGAATGCCGGAACTGGTTTTCCTACACTTTGCAGAGGGTGGACTAGATGACCTTTGGGGGATGCTGGTCTGCAGCTTTACAGACACCTCCTGCTAGAACAGAGAGGGCTCCGGGTAGTTCTCAACTTACAACATTCGGACTTACGACGGCACTGGTGGCTCCAGCCCCAACCCAACCCGTTGGGGGTTTATTTCATAAACCACGATCAAACAAGCCACAGCTTAGCCAGCCTCTCAAGACGGGTCCAGTTCTGTAAGATCCAGGGACAGTTCTTTTTTGTTGTTGTTGTTCTTGGTTTGTTTTTAACTTTATTCAGTTTCCGCAAAAAAAGTGAAATCTAAGAAATCGGCGAAAGAGAGAGAGATGGGAAAAGGAAGAAGGGAAAGATTAAAAGTCGAAAAAGGGAAAGAAGGAATAGGATGGAAAAAAGAATAAGTTCCGAGTCTCTTTGGAACAGATCCAAAGATGAGGTGTCTCTAAAATTAGCAATAATACACAGTATTTCGTCATAAACCATTCCAATTGTCAAACATCCCCCCCAATTAAAGTTTCCTTTAAATCCCATGGTGGTTTAAACAAAGAGAGATATATTTCTTTCATCAAAGAGTCAAAAATCTCTTTTAATTTTCTCCTGAGAAAGCCAAATTAGGAAAAAAAAAAACCCATCCTCAGCTCTGAGACTTGCAAGCAAAAATCTAGCTCTTCGAGGAAAGCGGAATTGCAAAGGGATAATTAGCCTGCCCTCTGGTGGCCAGGCCGAGTAGGGCAGGCGGAGGCAGGACATTGCAAAAATTAGCCTAAATAAAAATAATCAGGGTCCACTTCTGGGTGCATCTCAACCCCCCCTTCTCTTGCTAGAGGCAAAAAACGGGGTGCAACCCCCCCTAAAACGGAATAGAACTGAATGGCTTTTGAAGCTTCATGGAAATTGCATGGGAATAAGGGCCTGCCCTCTGGTGGCCGTTTCAGGTATGGCAGGCAAAGAGAAGAAATTGCATATGCTCCCTTGTCTGTAGGTTGTCCTTCACTTACGACCAGTCGTTTAGCGACGGTCCGGCTGCAAAAGTTTGCATATATTTAGTCTGCAAACAGAGCTGGGATCTCGGACCGGTGCATGCCAGCAGCCCTGCGAGGTAGGCTCGGTTAGCAAAACCGACCCTGCAGGGATTCCAGCAAAGTTGTTTTTTTGTGATGGCGTTTAGGAACAAAATAAAACTCTGTGGTTGTAAGCTGCCCAAAGTCCCTTTGAAACGAGATAGGCAGCAACTAAATTTTATAAATAAAATAAATAAAAATGTTAAAAGCCTCTTTAAGTTAACAGGAGAACAGAGTTGGAAGGGACCTTAGAGGTCTTCTAGTCCAACCCCTACTCAGGCTAGGAGACCCTCTACCATTTCAGACAAAATGGCTGTCCAGTCTCTTCTTTAAAAACCTCCAGTGAGGAAGGAAGGAAGGAAGGAAGGAAGGAAGGAAGGAAGGAAGGAAAAAAGAATAGCAGATCAGAACAGAGCTGGAAGGGACCTTGGAGGTCATCTAGTCCAGCCTCCTGCTCAGGCAGGAATCTCTCTACCATTTCAGACAGTCCAGTCCAGTCTCTTCTTAAAAACTTCCAACGTTGGAGCATTCACAACTTCTGGAGATTTTGAGTCATTTTCTTCCGTTTTTTTCTCCTTTTTCAAGCATTTCCCTCTGGTGAGAATTCAATTCCCCAAACCCTCAGATCGGAAAAATTCAGTCCAGACCCAGGAAGGGGGTTTGAAAGACACCGAACTGACCCAGCTCTCTCTCTCTTCCAGTGGGCGCTCTTGATGCTAGCCGAACAATCCCGGCCGCTCTCGGAATATGTTTGATATTTAGTTGGGTTTCACAGTAGAACAACCTAATATCAAACATATCAGATAGAAGCCGGGGACAAAAAGTCGTGCGCCCAAAGCCACAGGGACTTTTCCAGGCCAAGATGGATCTGCAAAAAAGAGAGAGACACACAAAGATCACTGCAATTTGGGGTAGATGGACCCACAAACATCATCTGTATGGATTAAGTTCCCACCAAGTTGTGAGTCTTTTTACAAGACTTGTATCCGCAGTGGAGCCCAACGTTTGCGTGGCTAAGCGAGGCCGTTGTTCAGCGGGTTTTATGAACTTGCTCGTCGCATGTTGTTAAGGCAATCGCTGCAGTTGTTAAGTTAGGGGAACAGGGTTGTGAGTCAAGGGCTGCCGGTCAACACTTTAGTGTCACTGCGCAAAACGTGGCTGCTTTCGTTTGGAAAACATTGCACCTCTCGGCTGAAACCTCGCACTGCACTTAACCTGCAAATTTAGATAAATTGTTGTGCCACAACTTTTCTGGGAAACCAGGTGAAGTGGACTTGGTTTGAAGGAAGGAGGAAAGGAAGGAAGGAAGGAGGGAAGGGAGGGAGGGAGGGAGGAAGGGAAGAGAGGAAGGAGATGGATGGATGGATAGATAGGAAAGGAAGGAAAGAGAGAAGAAGGAAGGAAGAAAGGAAGGAAGGAAGGAAGAAAAAAGACAAGAGGTAGGGAAGGAAGAAGATGGATCGATAGATAGGGAGGGAAGGAAGGAAGAAAGGGAAGGAAGGGAAGAGGATGGAAGGAAGGAAGGAAGGAAAGGAAAGGAGAAAGATGTAACGCTCTCAACTTGATTTATATGTTTGCTTAGATGGCCTTCAGAACGTGACTGCCACACTCAGAGAGAAAAATTATTAATTCCGGCAGCAAAAGGGAACCTCTGCATGCCGGTGCAGTCTACCTTTAAGCATCCCACCCAGACCATCCGGGGGAAGGAGGGCACTCTCTCCACCTGCAGATTTGCAGGCCTCTCCCAGCACCTGCTGCCTCCTAAGTTCATTTTGGGACCAAGCCCAGAAGACGGGAGAGAATCCCCCACCTAAGCAAAACGTCCTCCATCGCCCTGCCAATAAAGCTAGCAAAAGAGATTTTCGTTTGGCCCAAAATTGCTGCTGGTGGGCACCAAACTCACCCCCCCCCGTTTAAATCCAGTGCCAAGAGATGCCCCAAATTTGGTACATTTCTTTCATCCTTTTATTCTCCCCGTCTGCTTTTCCAGCTGCACAAGGGGAAGACGCTCCCTCGTCCACACCTGTGCTAATTTTTCCCTCTTACCTGCTTCCCCGTTCTCAGCATCCCTCTGCCGCTTGGCCAGCCTCCCTCCTTTATAACCAACTCGGGCTACCCTCGGGCACCCTAAAGGTCAGGGGCTGTGCCCCTTACGCTCCCTGAGATCAATTAGCCAATTGATTTTTTTTTTTTGTCCCATCTCTTGAGTTTTGTCAATAGCCCATCAACATCTCTCCATGCCCTGGAACGGCTACCCTACTTTTACAAGAGAGAGAGATGGAGCTTTAAAATCAATCTTATTTTCTCCCTTTTTTGGGGGGCGGGAGAAAAAAGGTGGAGGGCTTGGTGGGTTCCTTCTGGCCAAAGCAAACTCTTTGTGGGATCCCACTTCTAAAAGCTACACGTTTTCAGAGAAGAGATTTAGCTGAAACTCCAAAAACAGAAGAGGATCAAGTGGCAGAATTAAAGAGGGAAAAAGAATGCAGATAAAAATAAAACAAAAATATAAAATTAAATTAAATTACCTGCATCAACACACACGCACAAACTGGTAGGTTTGTATACGAATACAGCAGAAATAATCTGAGAATCATCAAGAGGAGGCAAGCGCGATCAAGGGGCAGAATTAAAGAGGAAGACAGAATGCAAATAAAAATAAAATAATAAATAAAAAATTAAATTAAATTAAAATACATCCATAAACTGGTGGGCTTGTGTAAGAATATGCCAGCAACGATCTCAGAATTATAAACTTTTCACGTATTATTCGACATTTCTCTGCAAAATATTTGTAGAACATAAAAGACATCTCTAAAGGGTTAGTCCAGTTAATAAATAAGAACCAGATTAATGTCAATGTATTATTTCAAAGCTTTTATTTTTTTAAAAAAAGATGGGTGTATAAACCAGACCAGCTTCCCACTTTTCAAAAGCACACTGGCCCTTAATTAACGAATTGGGAGAATTCAGCCTAACTTTGCTTGAAAGAAGTCTTATTAAAGCGAATTCGTTAAAAATTAAGCTTAGAGACATTTGCAGGAATTGGTACCCCAGCTTAAAACACAAAACCTGGATCAATTTATCTCACATTTCATTTATAGCCTTGAAAACATAGGAACAAAGCCACAGCTGGACACGATATTTATTTCTTTTTAATTGAATTTATAAATTATTTCCCCGATGATCTGCTTGAACGAACCACTTTTATTCAAAAATATATACTCTCATAGTTTGACAAAGTTTTAAACGTTTCTGTGTGAAGTCACATCGACCGACCAAATTATCTTCCTAGCACCTTACCCTAATGCCCAACTTACTTTTAGCCTGAACTAACATTGGTGGCTTGTCAGAAAACCATTTTCAATAGGAAGGTTGAGAAGTGAGAAAAAAAAAAAGTTTTGCAGGGGGGAATGTGGAGATATTCTAGAGAAATAAACCTGTTTATTTCGACTAAACCAGGATGGAAAAAAATTGTCTCTTCTAAAAGAACATGAAAAAAACACGCGATATTTGATTCATCTCAGCTAATTATTGTCAGGTGTCCTCCCACATTAGCGTAACACTCATTTTTCTCCGTCCCCCATTCCCACCAGCCTTGTTCCATCACTGGCGCAGTTAGAATGCTAGTTTATTGATCACTCGCTTCGTCCGATGGTCATTGTTCCCCTGGAACAATGTTGAGCGCACATGGTTGAGTGGACACATCCCATCAACCTTGAAGAAGGGACAGCTGGCCAGGAAGAACCACATCCACAAGTCCCCCCCCCCCGGATGGGGTCAACTGGTTAGACTGGGGAGGTTCCCAACCACCCAGTGAAGCTTTTCACTGTCCTCCCAGCTTCGCCGTTGACCTTGGCACTTTGATGCCCCCCCCACCCGGGCGCATCACACAAATGCCTGATTCCACTTAGTGACAAGATGGCTTCAAAAATGGAACACCCGCCTCCCACACCCCCCCCCCCGTTCTTGTTTGATGAGCCCTCCGGCTGGGCAGTCAGCTGGCTCCGTGCAACCATTGCCCCCGAGCTGAGAGGTCCAGTTGCCAAGCCGATTACTTTGGAGATAACGATTTGTGTTTATTGTTATTTTTTTTTTTTAAACAGGGAAAAGCCAAGATCCGTCCCCCCCGGGGCGGCCTACGAAGGAGGAATAAATAAACCAGACCGAGATTGAAAAGTCTCGTCCGAACTTTGATCTCCGGCCCGATCTCGGTTTGTTCGGCATGCTGGGAGAAACGAGTCTTTTGTTAATAAATAAGAGGCAAGATTTAAAAAAAAAATATGAAAACAGGGTGATTTACAAAGCTTCGGAGGCCAGAAGGAAGTGGGGGGGGGAGAGAGTCTTCTCCGCCCTGCCCACCCCAGAATCTTTTCACAGCAAGGGACGGGCCACGAGGGGCAGCCAAGCCTGGGCAGAGGCAGCAAGGTTGGTTTGGTCCAGATTGGGGGGGGGAGAGAGAAATTGGAGCCTGTCCCCCCCCCTTGCGCAGGTGGGAGATTCACAGGGTGCTCTCCAGTGTGTTGTAGCTGTCCTTGAAACTCTTCAGCTCCAGGAAGTGCATGGCCCGCTTGCTCTTGTGGCTGGAGGGCAGGTAGGTGACCTGGATGGTGGGGCTGGAGTTGTCCGGCAAGAGGGTCAGGTCCTTGGCTGCCGACTGGTGCTGCCGCTGGCTGCTCTCGCCCTGGGCCTTGAGGCTGAGGGAGGAGGGAGGAGGAGGGGCTTGAGCAGGGGGTTGGACTAGAAGACCTCTAGGGTCCTTTCCAATTGTGATTCTGCTGGTTTTTTTCCTGCCTTCCTGCTCTCCCTCTCTCCCTTCCCAGTCCCTCCCTCCCTTTCTTTTTCACTTTTTTCTTCCTTCCTTCCTTCTTTCCCTCCCTTCTCAATTCCTTTCCTTTCCCTAGCTTCCTTCCTTCCTTGTTTTTTTCCCTTCCTTCCCTCCCCTTTTCCTTCCTTCCTTCTTCCCTTCCCAGTCCCTACCTTTCTTTTTTACTTTTTTCTTCCTTCTTTCCCTCCCTTTTTATTCTTTCCTCCCTCCCTCCCTTCCCAGTCCATTTTTTACTTTTTCCTTCCTCCCTCCCTTCCTTCCTCCCTTCCTTCCTTCCTCCCTCCCTCCCTTCCATCCCTGGAGGTTTTCAAGGAAAGAGACTGGACCTGTCTGGAACGGCATAATAAGCTCTCCTGCTCAAGGAGGGGGTTGGATAGAAGACCTCCAGGGTCCCTTTTGACTCTTCTTATCCTGCCCCTTCCCTCAACCGCAGCCCCTCGGCCAACTTACATGGTTGCCAGCTCGCGCAGTGCCTCCTGGAACTTGAGGAATTCCATTCTGCCGAAGGCCTGTGGCAGAAAGAGAGAGGGGGGAAGCAAACCCACCCATCTTTAAAAGCTGCCTGAACTGGAAGGGTCAATGGCCACGATAAGACCAGCCCCCTCCCCAGCCAGGCTCCAGCCCTCGGAGGCAACGGCCACTCACCCCGGTCCCGTAGCGGGCGTTCTCGTAGCCGTCCAGGAGGGCGTCGATCAGGGTCTTGCGAAGCCCCTTCAAAGGGCTGCTGGAGTTGCGGAGATCAAGCAAGTAAGCCTGGAAGTTCTTCTCGATCAGCAACTTGGGATACCTGCCTTCCATGGAGTAGGGGATCTCTGCGGAGGGAAGCACACAAGAGACACACTCACACGACACGCCTGGCAGGGCTCGCTCGCTCGCTCTTTTAGGCAAGGAGGCCAGGAGCCTGGGTTGACTGGCTTCGTGGAATCCTGCAATGGGTGGGACTAGAACTCACAGCCTCCTGGCGATTGGCCCAAAGTCACCCAGTCAGCTTTCATGCCTAAGGCAGGACTATAACTCACAGCCTCCTGGTGATTGGCTCCAAAGTCACCCAGCTGCCTTTCATGTCCAAGGCAGGACTAGAACTCCCAGTCTCCTGGTGATTGGCCCAAAGTCACACAGCCGGTTTTCATCCCTAAGGTGGGACTATAACTCACAGCCTCCTGGTGATTGGGTCCAAAGTCACCCAGCTGCCTTTCATGTCCAAGACAGGACTAGAACTCACTTCCTCCTGGTATCTAGCCAGATGCTTTGAACTGACACCACGCTGGCTCTTGAAGTCATTAGACACGTCTAATGAAGTCATCTTTACAAACAAAAGTTTCTCCAAACAGAGCGCCCGCAAAAGGCCGTTTCCAAAACAGGAGGCCCCCTCCTCGGATTATCTTCTTACACCCCAGGTAGCCCCTGGCAGCTAAAATGAAGCCAAATGCAAAAAAATGGACCCCTCGTTGCCCTGCTGGACACTTCACTGTTCTTACCTGCTTCTCTGACTGCATCCAAAGCTTTCATCCGATACACGTAGTCGTAAGGGACTGAAATGGAAAGAGAGGAAGCTTAGTTGGGACCAGATCTCCCAGGCTGCTGCCCTCGTCCCAGCCATCCACTCCAGGTTCCAGGATCCAAGTACATGGGTTTCTAGGCGACTCCAGTTGTAGCAGCCGAGCGTCACTGTAGAACAACAGCCGGGGCTCGTATCTGATGTCCTGAACCCGGGACAGTCGGATGTCAATCTCCTCCTTGAGTCCCTGAGTGGAGAACAGAATGAAAAGAAGAGAGAGGAGACAAGGATGAGCTTCGCAAATCTCCCGTTCGGACTCTGCCACCTTGTGCTTAAAGAAAGATTGCTCCTGACCGGGGGAGCAATTTCTGATGGATTTGGCTGTCTGCCACCGCAAACTTATCTGTTAGGAAGCAGCCAAGACCGGCAGAATTATAATTATGGAGATGCTCTCGAGGTTGCAGATTATAACATGCCCTGGAGCTGTCGACAAAGGAGAATATTCGGAGCTCAAGGTTGAAATGAGGGGGTCCTTGGTGCTCTCTGAGCTTGGTGGTTCTCTTGCAGACTTTTCAGGACCCAAGTAGGTTACGTCATCAGGGATAGAAGGCAGGGGGGTTTCCAGAAAGGAGGAGGATCTCCCGCCATCCAGACAGGAAAAGACACCGGCTTGTCCACCCACCTACCTTGGGGGCGTGCTGGCCCACCGGCACGTGGGGGCCCCGGCGAGACTTCATGGCGAATCGCATGATCTGCCTCTTGACGAAGATGAAGAGCAGGACGAAGACCTGGAAAGGAGGCGAAGGAAGGGTTGGTGGGGCTCCTGATGCGGAGAGGGGACCCTCCCCAGCTGCAAGGAGGGGCAGCCTAGCCTACCTTGCAGGGGTGCGGTGGGGATGGCCCTAGGTTTGAATCCCAGAGCAAAGTTTGAACCCCGAGGAAAACCAGGAAAGAAATAATAGTAATAATCATAATCATAGTAGAAGTAGTAATAGGAAGGACTCCAAATGGCCAAATCCAGTCTAAACATCTGGCTGATTGTGTGACAAGGTATACAGGTAACAGAGTAGTATATTCATAATTAATTCAGTGGCACTAAACAGTAATAACAAAGACTAAGAAGAGTAATGAATAAATAATAATAATAGGAATGGACTCGAAAAGGCCAAATCCAGTCTTCACATCTGGCTGTGCCACAGACCATAAAAGCAGTATTTTTATTCATTCATTTATATTTAATATTACATCTTTATGCCGCCCATTAAAGGTCTCCTCCAAGTTCTATTCTATTCTCTACTCTATTCTTTATTATTCTATTCTATTCTATATTCTATTCTACACTAGTATTCTAGTCTATATTCTATTCTATATCCTATACTATTATTCTATTTTATATTCTACTATATTCTATATTCTATTCCATTCAGGTTTTTCTACATTGTTTATTCAGAATTAAATCTGCTCTGCCAGGCGATTCTTACAATAACACCGACATAAATTTTATGCACGTAATATTATGTATTATAATAAATCAAACGGAAGACCTCAGGCCTCCGCTCTCCAAACCCCGGCTGTAGACTCCAACTCCCATCGCCCAAGACAGCCGCCCTCTTTCTCCCGCACTACAAAGCGCATCGCCCACGGCGCCCCCCACCCCCTCCCCAGTTCAGGACACCGGTTTCCTTCCCCTCCCCGAACCAGGAGGACCAGAAGCCCGCTCTCCCTCTGCTGGGGACCATGGGGAGTGTAGTCCCAGCCCGTCTGAGGGAAGGGCGAAGGCGAAAGCTGAGGGGAGCGGATTGGCCTCACCAGGCTCCCGTAGGCCATCACCAGCACCACGTTCACCCCGGAGAGCCAGTTGCTGGCCGGGACCGGCGAGGAGGAGGACGGAGGAGAAGAGGAGGAGGAGGAAGAGGAAGAGGCGGCGGCGGGGGAGGAAGGGGAGCCCGCCATGACCGGGCGAGGCTCCAGGCCCGGCCGCCCTCAGGGCCGCACAACATGGCCGCCGCCGGGGCCGCCCGCGCCCGGTCACGTGGCTCTGGCCACGCCCCCCAGCCTGCGAGGCGGGTAAGGGGTGAGAGAAAAAGGAAGCTGAGATCAGCTGACCGGAAGCAGGGGGAACCACGAAGAGAAAGACGTTCCCGGGCGACCATATTGGAAAGCCAAAGAGTAAAGAGGCTAAGAGGCGTTCTCTGGGTCCAACACGTCCGGTTCTCAATGGAACATGCGGGGCAGGCCCCCCGAGCGATAGAAAAATTCCTTCTCCACCGCCCAAGATCTAAAATTAGCCGGGCAGAAACGAACGAGTAAATAAACTCCCCGCAAAGCATCGGTAGAGACTTTGCCCGTTTGCCGATGCTTTGCTTGCGTGGGAGGCCTGTCGCACAGGAACCGGAAGTATGCCGCCGAAATCTTTCTCTTTCTCCACCCCCAGGCTGGAAAAGGAGAAAGGTTGGTTAGGTTGCGGGGGACGAGACGAGAGATGGGGGGGTGGAGGAAAAAAAAGAGAGAGAGAGGGATCCAAACAGAGTCACGTGCTCGGGGGCGGGGCGAGAGCCGAGGAAAACAAACAGAGGGAGGGAGGGACGGGGTAACGCGCCTCCTTGTCTTCTTCTCCTCGCCCTCCCTCCCACGCCACGCAGGCGCGCTGGAGCTGGCCCGCGGGCGAAGGGGGCGTGCCGCGGCCACCTGACGCCCCACCTCGCGCGTGCGGCCCCGCCCACGCCGCGCGTCACGTGGCCGAGGGGGCGGCGCCGCGCTGGCTTCAGTTGTCAGTGTGCGTGTGGCGGCGGCGGCGGCAGCGGCTAAGGTAAAAAAAAAAAAAAGAGAGAGAGAGAGAGAGAGAGAGAGAGAGGAGAAATGGCGAGCGGCCCCTTTAAGAGCCGGCCCCGCCCCCTCCTCCTCCTCCCTCCGCCTCCCCCGTTAATCCCCGCTTTACTTTTATGAGGCGATCCCGGGAACCGGCGACGGCGCGGCGGCGGCGGAGGAGGAGGCGGGTATCCGGCGTGGCGGGCGGCTCGGCCGGGGCCTCCGGGGACCCTTTTCCCGGCCGGCCTGACGGGGAGGAAGGGGGCGTGAGGAGGCGGGGAGTTCCGGTCTGGAGCGCCTCCGCCGCGGCCTAGTCGGCCGGGCTGAAGCCGGGGACTCGCGTAGCGCGCTAAGCCGGGCCGGGCGAGGCCAAAGTCGGCCAAGACCCCGGAAGGGGGGAAAGGTGTTTTTTTTTCCCCGATCGTCGCTCCTGGGGCCTTCCGATGGGCCACGCCACCCATCCGAGGCCCGGGAAGCCTCGGCAGGCCCCTCCCCCCCTTGAGCAGCGCCGGCCCTTCCTGCCCGGGCGAGGCTGCTTCCCCCTCGAGGAAGCGGCGCTTCATTGTTTCCTCCCGGGCCCGACGGCCTCGCCTCGGCCCTCGGGGGCCAAAGGAGCCGCGGGGCGGACGGGGGGGTCCCTTTTCTCCTCTCCCCCCCCGGCAGGGCACGTGGAGGGGCCCCCGGACCCCCGATGTCCTTTGGCCCCCCTCCAGCCGGGCCTGGCTCTTCCTGGAGGGGGCGATCAGGCCTGGAGGAAGCCTGCTTCCCCCACCCCGGCCGGTCCCGTCTTAGGGAGGGGGCATCGCGGAAGTGGGGCTGGGATTCTTGGCTCGTCGGAGCGCCTTTCCTAGCTTGGAGGGGAGGCGTTGCATCTCCCCCCCCTTCGAAAAGGGGCAGGAATCTCTTGCGATCTAACAACCTGGGATCTCTTCTGCCTCCCTCAAGCATGCGGGTGGGGTGGGGGGGGGATCTTTTGCGGAAGATCAGTGTCTCTGCTTCCTCCAAAAGGGGCAGGGATCTCTCGGAATCTGATCCAGTGATTCTCTTCTCCCTCTTCCACGCAAGTGGGGGGGGGATCTTTTGCATCAGATTGGAGCCCGTTTGCCCCCTCCCAAAGTGGCAGAAATCTCCTAAAAAAACTAATCTAAAGTGATCCGTTCTCCTCCTTCCATATTTGGGGGTCTTTTGCATAAAATGGAGGTCCCTATTTGCCCCCTCAAAAAGTGTGGGGGAAAAATCTCCTAAAACCTAAAGTGATCCTTACTCTTCCTTTTCCATGCAGGGGGATCTTTTGCATAAGATGGGGGGGGGTGGTGGATCTCGGTTTGTCTCCTCTAAAAGTCAGAAATCTTGTAAAATCTCCTGTAAAGTGACCCCTGCGCCTTCCCTCTTCCATGCATAAAGTCAGGCTCTTGATTTCCCTCTCACTGCCCCCTCCCCTATCATCACCATCTCTTTATTTTGCTTTTTAATCCTTTTTTTTTTAAAATATTCGAAGGCTTCTTAATCTTGGGAGTGTGGTTTCTCCTAAGCATGCCAGCTCCTTTTTCAGCAGGCAGGAGGGTGTTCCTTTGTTATGGTGTGAGGGATCGGTGCCCGCCAATGATGTTTGCAAGCAGCGTTCAATCCACCTTTTGACTCCAGGCCTGCCTGCTGCTGAGTTAAAGAAACCTCCCACACACACACACCCCGTCTGCTCGCCTGTTATCTCTTAGACCTCGATGCTCTGTGGATCTGCTGGGCCGGAAGTTTTGCTGGAGGAATTTCCCAGGAGCATTGGAAGTTTTTAACTGCCCCCTCCCTGGGCAGAGAGAAAGCGATGTGGAACCATTTGAAGGATGAAGTTTCAGATCGTTTTATTTCTTTTCTTACAAAGCTAGCAATTGCCATTCTCCTTAGGATTCTGTAAGGCATCACTTTCCCAGCCGCTTCCCAGGCTTGGGAATTTACCCTGATGCTCCTTTTTCCTTCTGCAATATCCCTGATCTCTTCCCCTTGCAATTTCCCTTAAAGGAACAAAAGCCTTTTTTTGTGTGTGTTCTGTGTCACCTTGGATGACTTCACCTGGGACTTTGTATCTGTAAGAAAAAGGCCTGCTGTTTCTTTCTCCTTAAGTCTTACTACTTGTGACATTCTCCAAATGTACAGTTTGGGTCACTTCCCAGCCAGGAAGACCACAATTGTGGGAGTTCACAATGGCTGCAAGTCAGCACAATTTCTTGGTGGATGGACAAAGCCACAGTAGATATATCTTTTCATCCTTCTAAAATGTTCGCTGCTCCTCCTGCTCTCTTTCTACTCATCCCACAAACTCTTTTTCGTTCCCTTTTTTTAAAAGGCCTAAAACCAATGTTGACATTCTGGCTTCTTTTCCTGGCATCATTCTTTTTCTCAAGGACATTCTTTCAGGCAAAATCATACCATAATAATTTTCTCAGGAATGGTGCTCCAATCTTCTCAATCATTGCGAACTGAGCATTTTATTGTCCTCCAAAGTACGCAGCTTCCTTCTTTCCCAAAAGAAATGAAAAGAATTTGGGGGTTAAGATTTTTTGGGCTAGCAAGTAGCAATGTTTTTCCTAGCGAAATGTGATTGTGAATCCTTGCATATTTTAAGCAATCTGCATTTTGTGTTTTAGTGTTTGGCTGCTTTTTGAGTTCTCAGGTAAGTCAGCCTTATTTCCAGATGGACGTGCAGGGAACTCCAATCTTAGGTTGAAGACTGTGCTTGGCTATGATGCCAGATGTAGCTATCTGCTCATCAAGACTTTTTCCCAATAAAACAATCACTTCTTATGACTTTATTTTATTTTTTTTAAAGAAGAGGCCCTGTTAATCCAGCCTCCTTTTGTAAACCCAATATGCAGTAGTTTTTCTTCGGAAATTTACCAACAGAGAAGGTTCCTGTTTGAAGGTGGTGCTTAGCAATTTGTCAAGCAGGCAAAGTCTCAATTCAGAAATCAAGGAGTTGAATGATCTCTGGATAGAATAATGGGCTATGATTGTTAGAAGCTTGCTCTCCTTGGGTGGAAGCTGCTATCCAAGAATTATTCTCTTTCAGGCCTAACATGGAAAGAGTAATATTATCATTGCCTCTTGGGCTGTAGATTTAAACGTGCAGTAAACTATTCTAGAAATTAGATTGGGAAAGACTAGTATACGTTTCATTTCCACATAGTTTAGTTACCTGTCTGGTTCACCTGGCAGCAAGGTGAGAACTGCCGTTCTTTAAAGGAGGCACTTGCATTATATTTTGCTTAACAACACATCAACTATCTTTTCTCCAAGTTCCTGATTTTCTTTGCCATCTCCTTTTTTTTAACCACCTCCATCTTTATTACCAGTCTTGAAATCTCTGCTATCTGGTGGTGAATTTATTGGCATTTGATGGGTTTGGTCCATAACTTTATAAGGGGATGGATGATAAGCAATAGTCTATCAATCTTCAGTATGGTGGCTTCAGGAACAGAAGGCTACCCTGGAGACAGTATGATAGAACAGGAAGCTTCTTTAATGCCTCTACTTGGCCCATTTAGTGAACAATATCAGAGTAGATCTGGGCAAACTGGTGCTCCCTAGATTTCACCTTCTGCAGACTAACCCATCTTGACAAAGGGGTTCGCTTTCTCGTGCTCTAATTATGCATTTTCAGTCTTGTAAAGAAGCAACATTTGTCATGATCTGGCCAAAAAAAACTCCAGCCAGAAACTGTGTTTTCCTAGCTCTTGAGAATTAAATTACAAATTTAACAGCTCCCTCTCCAGAACATCGAATCTTCCCTGTCTTTTTTTTTTTTTTTTTTAAAAAAAAAACAACTTTAAAGTGAGCTTTGAAATGGGGGGGGGGTGTTTCTCCTAATCGTTTGCTTCCAGCTGTTTGACCAGGTATCTTTTTTACTTCACCGAAGCTGGCAAGACGGCTTGCCAGGGCAGGGTCCAAGCGGGGAGGCGTCGCCAGCTCCTGAGAACCGGCCCCCTCGTCTTTCAGGATGAAGTTGTGAGACATGGACAAATCCCACTGCGCAAATTGCCCTGAATGCTAAGTCAGGTTGACGGTCCTTCTCCCCAACTGAATTGGCTGTGCTAGCAGCCACTCTCTAGGGCAGTGTTTCTCAACCTGGACAATTTTAAGGCACGTGGACTTCAACACCCAGAATTCCACAGCCAGCATTGCTGGCTGTGGAATTCTGGGAGTTGAAGTCCACATGCCTTAAAATTGTCAAGGTTGAGAAACACTGCTCTAGGGTCTCTTCCATCACCTGCTGTCTCTTCCTTTTTAAGTGGAGGCTGCTGAGTAAGCCAGGGAGATGTGTACATCCGTGGCAGCCTGCTTGTGAGAAAGGATGAAAAAGGAAGGAAAGAAAAACCAAGAATCCAGCATCCAGGAACGTCAATACCCCTTTGGCTAGCCGTAACCAGAAATGGCTCCTTTTGGGAATATCCAGAGGAAGATACGTTGCTCTGTTATCGTAGCCTGAGAAGACTTGGTTTACTTCTTCCTAGTTTGGTGCCTCTGCCTTAACACCTTTCGGGTCCTTTTGTGCTTCTGTTGTGTACACACACTGCGGTGGGCCTCTCAGAAGGACTCAGAAGCTGCTGTTTTGGAAATCATGGCTGTACATTGATAGTTGTAAGAACGCCAGGCGTGTCATAAATGACACGGGAGAGAGCTTTTCCTTCTAAGCATACATTCCATGTCTCCTTGGTCTCTAAAACTACCTTTAGCTTAACAGGACACAGTTCTCTTTTCTTTCCGTCTCCAGAGATGAGGGCTCAATTTCTGAGCAGGAGACAAACACAAACCCTGTTGCATCACTTTCCTTCTCCCACCTGTGTGGATGTGTGTTGTTTGCTGCCCAGGCTAAAATTTGTTAGCAACAGGCCTGGAGTCCTGTGGATTGAAAATGGTTTCCTTCTCCAGCCATTTGCTGCCTGGGACTTTTGATTAGCTTCACCGGGAGGGGGGGGGTGATTCTTCAAAAGAGCAGATTGGATTCCTGGAAACCAAATTGGGTTGAATCATTTTGCTGTAAGTGGCTTGCATGTGGAGTGATTTCTCAGAGGGAAGAATCCGTTCTCGGGAAAGGAGATTTGAAACTCGGTCACTACGGGGATAATTGTCCTGCTCCTAAAAAAACCCTGAAGGGGTTTTAAGTTTGGTTTCTGATCTCCCTCTTGTGGGTGATCTAGTTTGGAGTGGCTGTTCTACCCCGGCAGTCTGGATTTAAGGATATCTGTTTTATTAGGCAGCTGCTGTATCGCGGCCCGCTCTGCGCGCTTGGTTAAACGCGTCTGCAAGGCTAGGAGGTTTTGAATATGTCCGCAAACTTCCTCATTCTGACTCGGAATTCATAACACCCAGTTTACTTTTCAGCTATCTTTTGGGTCTTTTTGAAGTGCTCAGCCCTTTCCCCAGCGCGGTTTTATAAAGTCTCCTTCAGCTCTCCAAAGTCAGACTGCATTTCGTTGCAGGGCCGGGAAATCTTGATGGAAGAGAACCTTGCTCCAAAACAGATTGCTCATTGCTAAAGATGAGAAATTGAGTCCAGCTACGGTGGAGAACTTTCTTTTCTAAAAGAAAGCGATCCATCTTCGGGTTTGGTTTTGTTTTTTTGGTGGCGTGTTGCAACACACCTCCAACTTTCCATTAGTCACGGAAACTTGTCTTAGGAAAAGCTTTTATCGGTTTTTTGGACAACTAGAGTTGACCGGCTAGGGATTGAACTCTTCTTATTCAGAGCTGGGGCGAAGCCAGAAGAGAGGGGAAACAAACTGGATCATCCTCCAATCTTTTTGAAATCGTAGCCAGTAAGCAGGGTGTGTTGGTAGGGTTGAGTGAAGGCTACACAATCTACAGGATGGGAGGGGGAAACTGTGATTCTTTCACACCCTGGCAGTTGTTCTGAAGCAAGTGCTTGATAGGTGTCAAAAATCAAAATACAGGCAGTCCTGGACTTACAACTATCATGTAGCAGCTGTTGGAAGTTACAGCAGCACTGAAAAAAGTGACTTGTGACCGTTTTTCCCATTTACGACCGTGGCAGCATCCCTGTGGTCACAGGATCAAAATTTGGACACTTGGAAACTGGCGTGTACTTAATGACGGTTGCAGTGTCCCCGGGGTCACCTGGTCCCCTTTTTGCAACCTTGTAACAGATTCAGTTAACAATCACGTTACTAACTTAACAGCTGCAAAGAGTCACTTAACAGCTGGCAAGTCTGGTCGTAAAGTGGGCAGAAGCGCTTAGCAGTGGAAATTTTGGGTTAAATTGCCGTAGTTAGGTCGAGGATTACCTGTAAGCGCCTGGGTCGATCGTGTGAAAGGCGTCATTGTTGGCTCTTGATTTTAACACCCCTCTCTCTTTTTTTTAATTTGCAGATTTCTGCCTTGTAAATACTGTTATTTGTATATACTGTAAATGATGACATCGGTGGGCACCAACCGAGCCCGGGGAAGCTGGGAGCAGACACAAACACAGACCCAGGCACAGCACAAGCAGAGGCCACAGGTGAGGGCGGAGCAAGCAGCCTCCCTGGAAACTGGGCGGCCGCCCCCCCTCCCCCAAGTGTGTGTGTGTGTGTGTGTGTGTGTGTGTGTGTGTGTGTGTGTGGTGGAGGGTGACCAGTCTCTCCTTGCTCTTTCGGTTGTGACTCTGGCCCTAACGTCTTCCTGGGGAGACAAAGGTGCTTTCTCCACCTTTGTTTGCTCTTAGCAGGAAGCTGAACTGAGGAGGGAGGGTGGAGCTTGGCCTTTGTGGAGGAAGCCAGGGAGAATAGCTGGCAGGGAAGGTGCCAGGAAGAGTCACACTTCACCCCCCCTCTTCCTTTCTTAGCCAATTGTACCCAAGCATCTGGTTACCCTGGCAATCAGACTCCAGCCGGGTGGGTAAAAATCTGATATTTGATTCCTTGCAAGGGTTTGCCGCACCGTTTGTCTTGTCGTTTGTCGGGATCCATTTGAGGGAGTGATTAGTATTCATTAGTATTCATTATTTTTAGAAATAAGGTGGTGAATGCACCTAATCCTCCTCCCTCTTCTTTTCCCCACAACGACAACCCTCTGAGGTGGAATGGGCTGAGAGAGAAGGATTGGCCCAAAGTCACCTAGCTGGCTTTCATGACTAATAAGGAACTAGAACTCACCGTCTCAATCTCCTGGCGATTGACCCAAAGTCATCCAACCAGCTTTCCCTCCTAAGGCAGGACTTGAACTCAGAATCCTTTCGCTTCCTAGCCTAGTGCCTTAGCCTCTAGACCAAACAGGGAAGCCAAGGACTCGTTACACTAAGCTGGGATCAATTTGGTTTTTAAACCTGGGTTCGGTTTAACCGCTGGTTTTGCCCGCTAGCGGCAGGAAGCTTACCAGGTTTGCTTTACAGCCACGTGTAACAACTCTGTAATTTGCTTAATGATCTTGGTGACTCACTTTACCACCGTAAAAACGGTCATAAAATCAGATCCTCGTAGAAGCCTGCGATTTGTGGGCCATTTTTTAAGATTTTCAGAACCCACATCTTGGGCTGGGAAGGGGCTTCCCCTGGAACTCAGATCCTCTCTCTGCCCCAGAGAGTTGACAGCCCCTCACCTGAGCAGTTAGAACTTACTTACCTGCCTCCCTCCACCTTTCTCCTTTTGGACACGGCCTCCCCGAAAAGTCAACCTTCTCCTTTTCTCTTCCTGGTCTTTTTCTTCCCAGGCCACTGCGGAGCAAATTCGACTTGCGCAGATGATCTCGGACCACAACGACGCCGACTTTGAGGAAAAAGTGAAACAAGTAAGAGGCGGGGGGGTCTTCCCACAGGTGGTCCTCAGCTTACAACCCTTCCGTTTAGCAACCGTTCGGAGTTGAAACGGCACTAAAAATGATTTATGACTATTTTTCGCTTACGATTGTTTTAGCATCTCCACAGTTGTGTAGTCAAAAATTGGATGCTTGGCAACCGGCCTGTATTTACGATGGTCGCAGCATCCCTGGGGTGTGTGTGTCACGTGATTCCCCCCCTTTTTTTGCGACCTTCTGACAAGCAAAGTCAATGGGAAAGCCGGATTCCCGTAACAATTGTATTACTGAGTTAACAACTGCAGTAATTCATGTTAAAAACTGGCCAGGGAGGTCGTAGAGCGGGGCAAAACTACTTAAAAACTGAGCAGTGGAAATTTTGGGCCCAGTTGTATCTTTTATTCATGACATTCCCTGGAGTTGGGACATCCAGTATTAGCCAAAATGGTTCCCTTTTTAGTATTTTATCAGTTCCAAACAAAATCTGTGCCTGCCCTGACGTTTGATTCTGTTTTGTGAGCTCTCCAGCGAATCAAAGGCTAAACGTCCCAGAATAGGAACAGCTTTGAAATGGTTCTTTGCCCTAATTCCAGCTAATAGAGTCACATTGGTTAATTTTTGGCTGGGTCATCCCGCCTCGCTCTTCTGCCTGCCAGTATTTTTTTATTATTATTTGTTTTGCTTGTTTGTTTCTTGGGGAAACAAATGTGCAGGTAGCCAGTGTAAATTTAAAACCGCTGCAGTTTTATTATGTTAGCAAAGGAGGTTAGTAAAAATAGGGACCTTTTTGACATTTTCAAAGCCCAGTGGAAAAAGAGAAGGCTTGCCTCATTAAAATAATTTATGAAGAAGTATTGCAAGAGACCCCCTTCTCATGACGTTTCTTTTTCCCTCTGCAGCTGATCGACATCACAGGCAAGAACCAGGACGAGTGTGTGATCGCACTGCACGACTGCAATGGGGATGTCAACAGAGCCATCAACGTGCTGTTGGAGGGGAACCCAGACACGGTAGTTGTGGGGCTTGGCTAGGGCAGGGGGAGGCTGGCTGGCTGGACCGGCAAGGAGGACACTTGCTTCCAGCCCAGCATGATGTGCAAACCCCATCAAAGCTGAGCTGTGGCTGAAAGCACCTGGGCTCTTTTCATTGCTGGTTTTAAATATGCAGGCAGTCCCCAGTTCATTTAGTGACCATTCAGAGTTACAACAGAACACGGC